ATGTGGTTCAGTTTAATCCCCTGTACCAAAAAAAAAAAAGAGAGGAAAAAGAATAATGACAGTGATTCAACCACCTGACTAAAAGAAAAAAAAAAAAAACTATTCAGAGTATTAAATGAAGATCATAGTAACATCATAGGGTTCAAAGTTAGTTTTATATAGTAGGAGCAAGAAAACAAATTAGAAAATTAAATAACACAATCAATAATAGCATCAAAATCCATAAAATACTTTGATAAAATGTGCAAGACCCCTGCATAGAAAACTATGCGACAGTGTTAAGAAAAATTAAAGAAGGCCTAAATAAATGGAACTCAGCATTGCAAAAGTTCAATACAATTTTAACCATAACCCTAGCCGGCTTCTTTGGGTTGGAAATTAACAAGCTGATTCTATTTTTATGGTACTAGGTATCAAACTCAGGGGTGCTCTACCACTGAGCTACATCTTTATCCCTTTTTATTTTTTAGTTTTTGAGACGGGATCTGGCTAACTTGCTCAGGCTAGGCTTGAACTTTCAATCCCCCTATTTTAGCTTCCTGAGTTGCTGAGATTACAGGTGTGTGCCACCTCACTCAGCAGCCAGCTGATTCTAAACATATTTGGAAATACAGAGGACTTACTTAGCATGTTTGAAAGTAATCTAGAAAGGTGGAAGAACTTATTATAGAACTTAAATTATATGGGCTGGGGTTGTGGCTCAGTGGTAGTGCACTTGTCTAGCATGTGTGAGGCACTGGGTTTTGATCCTCAGCACCACATAAAAATAAATAAGTAAAATAAAGGTATTGTGTCCCTCTACAACTAAAAAATTATTTTAACAAAAGAACTTAAATGATATGACTTTAAGATACTCCAAAATTTATTATAAAACTACAATAATGAAGACATTGTAATCAAGACTTTGCCATAAGGATAACGAACAAAACGGGAACCCTAGAATTAGACCTCCACCCCCTGACACACGTGCACTTAAGAAGCCCATTTATTTATTCATTTAAAATATTTTTATTAGTGATAGATGGACACAATATCTTTGTTTTATTTGTTCATTTTTATGTAGTGCTGAGGATCAAACCAAGTGCCTCACACATGCTAGGCAAGTGCTCTACCACTGAGCTACAGCCCCAGCCCAAGATTTCATTTTTGAGAGTCATTAAATAAAGAAATCAATCATTATATTGGTATATAATTTTGATAAAATAGGAGTTTTCTAGTTCTAGGAGAAAACAAATTGTTATTCCTCCTCAAAGAACATCGATAAAAATATAATCCAGTTTACTTGCCATCTCTTATGCTTCTGGGATCTCTTGGGGGAGATCCACTTGTCCTGTTTCCTCAGAAAAGTTCATCACCCAAAACAGTGGCAGCACTTCCTCTAGCAGGTCCTAACATATTACAGCATAGGAGTGGGTTTATAGCCTGACCTCTGTGGCTGTCTCGGTAAGACATCCTCCAGACCTTCTATTATGGAGTCAGCTAGTGACACCCTAATAAATAAGGACTGAGCCATCTAATTTCAATGAGACTGACCTGGATTTAGGGGTCAATAGTCCAAGTTTATCAATGGTAGCTATATCTTTGTGAGTACAACACCCCAACAAAAATTTCTCACCAGTCCTTGTTAAGTATACCTAAAAGCCAATTACATATTTGTATTCAAAATATAATGTTACTCCTTAATTCAAATTATTGTATTAGTATTATATTTCATCAAGCCATACACACACACACTTATATAAAATGCATTTTTATCATTTTTTCGGGGGAGGGATACCAAGAATTGAACTCAGGGGCACTTAACCATTAAGCCACATCCCCAGACTTATTTTGTATTTTATTTACAGACGGGGTCTCACTGGGTTGCTTAGGGCCTTACTTTTGCTGAATCTGGCTTTGCACTCACTATCCTCCTGCCTCAGTCTCCCAAGCTGCTGGGATTACAGGCACATGCCACTGTGCTGGGCCACTTATATCTTTGACCAGCAGGCTTTGTCTAGTCTCAATAGTAATATGGTGACTAAAGAAAATCATTGCTAGTTGATTTTTGGAAAGAAGTATGTATGGACAAAGAGCAAAAATTCTTTCAAATTCATAAATACTTTAGAACAAAAATAAAGAGATAGGATGTGGGTGACTTAGGGCAAGTACTTTACATCTGTTTTAAAAAATAGATTTCATTTTCTAGAGCAGTTTTAGGTTCGCAATAAAATTGAACAGAAGGCACAGAGATTTCCATATATCCCCTGAGAACTGCATTCCTTTTTTATAAGTTGATTGCATGAGAATTGACATCTTTTTTGATTAGATATTTTTTGTGATAATATTTTTTGAATACTTTTAAAAGTCTGATTGATAATGAATATAAAATTTATATACATCATAATTCACCCTATCTGGTGGTGGCCAGTTCTTGGAATGTTAACAAAAGCATATAGTTGTGGAACTATAAAGTTTAAGAATGATTCCAGGTTTTCTTTTTAATATTTTTTTCTAGTTGTCAATGGACCTTTTTTAATTTATTTATATGTGGTACTGAGAATCGAACATGCTAGTCAAGTGCTCTGCCGCTGAGCGACAACCCCAGCCTGATTCTAGAATTTCTTTATAACACCAGTGTTTCCTAAGTTAAGCCTAACTTTTGAGCTAATAAATAAATTATTATCATGATAATGAAGTAACCATATATTCCTTTCTAAAAAAATATTTGGTATTCTTTGTTTATTTGGTCCTGGGAATTGAACCCAGGGGCACTTTACCAATGAGCCACATCCCAGCCCTTTTTATTTTTTGAGACAAGGTCTCACTAGGTTGTTCATAGCCTCACTAAGTTGTGAGACTGGCTTTAAACCTGTGATCCCCTTGCCTCAGCCTCCAGAGCCACTAGGATTCCAGGCTGTGCCACTGCACCTAGCTAGTACTTTTAAATATGAAGAATCACTACTGAATTAATGTCATATATCTTATAGAAATAATCATAATGATTTTTGTTTTAAAAGTAATTAATATGACAAAATAATTATAGTACATTTCCTAGAATTGAACTACCCCTGCATTCTAGAATAAGCCAACTTAATTATGATAAACTTACTTTCAGTGTGCTATAGGAATTTTTATTTTTTTGTACCAGGGATTGAACCCAAGGGTACTTAACCACTGAGCCATATCCCCAGCCCTTTTATTTTTATTGTGAGACATAGTCTCACTAGGTTGCTTATAGCCTCCCTAATTTGCTGAGACTGGCTTTGAACCTGCAATCCTAGAGATGAGATTTGTTTTTTTTKTTTTTTTTTTTTTTGAGGGGGGTTCACAAAAGTGATTTTGGCATATAGCTTTCCTTTATTAGGATTTGACTTCATTTTTATACTCACTTAGAAATAATTTGGATTTTATTATTTTTCGGAATAGGCCCTTTCTCATGACTTTCTCAATGCTTTCTTAGAAAATTACCCTTTATTGAGATTGTAAGTCCTCTATGATTTTCAGAATATCAAATCTGTTTTGGTAGTTATTTGCTAATATCAAGAACTGAAATTTAAATGGCTGGGGTTATAGCTCAGGGGTAGCACGCTTGCCTAGCATGTGTGAGGCACTGGGTTCGATTCTCAGCACCACATATAAATAAATAAATAAATAAAGGTCCATCAATAACTACATATATAAAAAAAGAAGAAGAAGAACTGAAAGGTTTGCAACTTTACCCTGCTTGCAAGCTAACAAGTTAGTCTGCCACTGTATCAAGATGCTGGCAAAAGACACAGTTGCACTTAGTGACTCAGTGAGAACCTGTCTCTAAATAAAATACAAAAAGGGCAGGGGATGTGACTCAGTGGTCCAGTACCCCTGAGTTCAACCCCTGGTACCCAAAAACTTACAAATAAACAAAACCTCTTTATAGCTTAAATAAGTCTCTAGATGATTCTTAGCCACACTTAAATCAGGGCTCCACTGATTTGACTTGTTTCCCTAATCACTAGCCACACCTCCTGCACTCCTGGGCTCTGTTCTCTTGTGTCCTTTGTCTTTTGTCAAAATGTACGAGAATTCTACCTGTTCTATGATATAAATTCACTTAGTAGTGATCAGGAATAATAGCAGTATCATGTAAAAGATAATTCACAGGTAATTCTCCTACAGGGTCTTGCTAAGTTGCTTAGGGCCTCACTAGTTGGCCTTGAACTTGAAGTACCCCTGCCTCAGCCTCCCAAGTTGCTGGGATTACATGCATGCACTACTACACTCAGCAAGTCAGGCTGCATTTCACCCTACTCCTACCTCAGGGGCTTTTCCTCTTCTTTCCTTCTCTTTCTTTCCCTCCCTCCCTCCCTTCCTCTCTCCCTCCCTCCCTCCCTCCCTTCCTTCCTTCCTTCCTTCCTTCCTTCTTTCCTTCCTTCTTTCCTTCCATTCCCTCCCTGTACTGCCCAGGTTGGCCTTAATGGAGCTGGGACTATAGGCACATACCACAGTGCCCAACTCAGAGCTTTATTTTCACACATGCAGTGCCTCAGCACTTTGACATCCAGAGTTTCTGTTTTGCTTTTGTGCATTCCAGTGTTCGTAAAGTGGGCTTCAACCATAGTGATCTGTCTTTTGGATTATCCCTTGAGATATGAACTATTTGTTAGTATTCTCCTAATAAAATTGTATAGAGCTGAGTGGTCTGCTCCAATCCTTTTCCTTATAAACTCAGTTACTTTTAGTGCACAGTTTTGTTGAAGATGAACATACATTTGCTTTCTTGTTTTCTTTCAGATTTGGAGTCCAGATACAGGACCAATACTTCATCTCCAGAAAAGGACATTTATGAAATATATTCGTTACAGTGGGAGATAATGGAAAGAATTAAAAGCTATACCCTTCAGGACTCCATTTTTAGAAATGATTGGGAATGTAAAAGCAAGATTGAGGGACAAAAAGAACCACAGGAGGGTTATTTTGGGCAGGTGAAAATTACCTCTGAAAAAACAACCACGTACAAAAAGAATAATTTTCTTGCTGAGTATCAGAGAATTCATAATGGAGAAAAATTATATGAATGTAAGGAGTGTAGGAAGACCTTTATTCGTCGCTCAACACTTAGTCAACACCTACGAATTCATACTGGTGAGAAACCTTATAAATGTAAAGAATGTGGACAGGCCTTTAGACAACGTGCACACCTTATTCGACATCACAAACTTCATACTGGTGAGAAACCCTATGAGTGTAAGGAATGTGGGAAGGCCTTTACTGTGCTCCAAGAACTCACTCAACATCAGAGACTTCATACTGGTGAAAAACCTTACGAATGTAAGGAATGTGGAAAGGCCTTCAGAGTACATCAGCAACTGGCCCGGCATCAGAGAATTCACACTGGTGAGAAACCCTATGAATGTAAGGAATGTGGGAAGACCTTCAGACAGTGTACACACCTCACTAGACATCAGAGACTTCACACTGCCGAGAAGCTCTATGAATGCAAGGAATGTGGGAAAGCCTTTGTATGTGGCCCAGACCTTAGAGTACATCAGAAAATTCATTTTGGTGAAAAACCCTATGCATGTAAGGACTGTGGGAAGGCCTTTAGAATATGCCAACAACTTACTGTTCATCAGAGTATTCATACTGGTGAGAAACCCTATGAATGTAAGGAATGTGGAAAGACTTTCAGATTAAGGCAGCAACTTGTTCGCCATCAGAGAATTCATACTCGTGAGAAACCCTATGAATGTATGGAATGTTGGAAGACCTTTAGTAGTTACTCCCAACTTATTTCACATCAGAGCATTCATATTGGTGAGAGACCCTATGAATGTGAGGAATGTGGGAAGGCTTTCAGACTGCTGTCCCAACTCACCCAACATCAGAGTATTCATACTGGTGAGAAGCCCTATGAATGTAAGGAATGCAGAAAGCCTTTTAGACTGCTCTCACAACTTACTCAGCATCAGAGTATTCACACTGGAGAGAAACCTTATGAATGTAAGGATTGTGGTAAGGCGTTCAGACTTTATTCATTTCTTACTCAACACCAGAGAATTCACACTGGGGAGAAGCCTTACAAATGTAAGGAATGTAAGAAGGCCTTCAGACAACATTCACACCTTACTCAACATCAGAAGATTCATAATGGAATYTAATACAAGAAAGCTTTCAAATGTGCATTTTGTTACAAAACACCAGTAAATCCATTTTTGAGAAAATACACTTACAACTAAATGTAAGAAATTTTCTATTAGGGAAGGAATGTGTTGCTTTGAGCCTTCCATCACCCTTCAAACATTGTTTATCTTCAGCAAATTCCTTTGAGAGAATAATTTAATGAATGTAGGAAAATGTTTAGCTTTATCTGTCATCTCCATTTTGCCACTTTACTACCATTGTGATATTGAAAAAGATACTAAACTTTTGTGCTCATTTTTAAAATTATGATAGTAGTACTTATTTATTGCTGTGTGATAAATGACTAGAAAACATAGTAGCTTAAAATAATATACATAGGTTATTTCACAGTTTCTATGGATCAGGAATCCAGGCATGACTTAGTTGAGTCCTTGTAGTTACAAGGTTACAAAGTTTCAGCCAAGACTAAGGATCCATATCCAAGCTAACAATGCTTGAATTCATTTTCTTGAGGGCTCTTGATGGAGAGCCTCAGTTTCTAGTTGACTACTGGCTGAAGCTGACKGCAATTCCTTGCTAGAGCCACCTCTTCACATGACTACTTCATCAAAGTGTGCAAGCCAAGAAGGCACCTACTAGCAAGAGGGAAGTCTGTTAGCAATATAGACATGATGCATCTTGTGTTATCTAATTGTGGCAGTTACATCTTATCACCTTTGCTACCTTTTACTGATAGAAGTAAATTACTAGACCAGCCCACACTCAAGAAAAGGGGATTACTTGAGAGTGAATTCCAGGAGACAGGGACCATTGGGAGCCAATTAAGAGTCAGCCAGTCACACTGTGTAATATAATCATTGTAAGGATTAAGTAGTTAATACTTAGAAGAGTAGCCAGTCACATAGCATGTATTCTGTAAATACTGTCTATAATTGATATTAACATCATTAGTATTAGTGAATTCTTATGGAAGATTCTATAGGAGTAATAAGTATAGAAATGCCTCCTGTTACATCTCTGCACTTAATAAAGTGAAAATAATTTATTCTAGTAAAATCTAGATTATAGTGAATATCAGAAGTTCTTCGTCACTTGATCTGCATCAGAAATTTCATGCTGAAAAGAACTGTATGAATTTATCAGAATCTTTTCTGAGCCTTTAAAAAAGCAAATGGCTTAGAATCCTTGTTGTCTGACCAGAATTCAAGATATATCACAAACTCTCAAAAAAGATGGCATAGAAGAAACTAACCAGTTGGGAATTTAAATGTATGTGTATGTGTGTGTATGTAAAACTTATATATAAAAGAAAATACTATTATAGTCAGTATGCTTTTTGATGCTTAAATTGCCCCATCTTCAACTAGTTTTTCAAATTGGATGTTTTGCCAGGTGTGGTGGTGCATGCCTATAATCTCAACAACTTCAGAGGCTGAGGCAGGAGGATCATAAGTTTGAGGCCAGCCTCAGCAACACAAATTAGGCATTTTGAGGTAGCCCCACAAATAGTAGTTTGATAGTTTATGACTTGGTTGTGATTATATGGTTTGTCAGCTGTGCAAGATGCTATGACATGATCATCATTCTTAAAATCATTAAATTGTGAACCAAATTTCAGCATCACCAAAAATTCATCAAATTCAAGTGGGTATTGTTTTAACTTAAAAAGTCTAATCATTAATTCAAAAAGAATGATAGGATTAGAAAAACCATCATTGTCTAGACTCTAATGGAATAATGGGACCTGAAAACAGTGTTCCATGGATAAAAAGACTTTTAGTTGAAAAACTTTATAGTGGATTTATCATACTGACCACTTCTGAATCCTTTGACCAATTTTAGCCTTAGTCAAAATGGGACTGTCACACAATGTCCACCTCCTGGTGAAATCCAATAGGAAGTACACACTACCACCTGTGAGGCCTTCTTGCCAAAACAGTGAACTGAAGGAATCATACTTTTGAATCAAACTGTTTAAACCAAGATTTGGGGAAAGATTGAATAAAATCAGTGTCACCACGAGGAAGTCACCAATGAGATCCAGAATGTGTAAAATTCTACAGAATAAATGTCCTGATTTTGTCCACTAACGAGAGGCATGAAAAACAAAGAGGAGCAACCCTTACTAATAGAGTAGGATTAAGAGTCACATCACTAAATTCAATGTGTGGGAATTGCTTGGATCTGGTTTGAACAACATGTTAAAAAAGGTTTTGAAGACAGTGGAGGAATCATGGACGTGGACTGAATGTTACATATATTTAGAAATATTAACTTTGTTAGGGATGATAATATCAATGTGGTTACTAATAAAATATCCTGTGTGTTAGACATATTTACATATTTCTGATAATGTAAGATACATAGATTTACATTGAAATATTCCAGCAAAAGAAAGAATGGCAAAATGTTGGTAATCATTGAAGTGCAGCGATTTGTTTATGGTGACTTATTGTTTTAATATTTCTACTTTTGTATGTATTTAACATTTCAGTAATAAAATATTTAAAATCAAAATTGGGATTATGAACTATTTAGAAGTTAATGATGAGATCCTTGCACATCTAGCATGTCACATATCATTAAAGTTTTATTAATTGAGCAAATAATGCCATTTGATGTACTAATGAAGTCTCATTTGTGGGCCCATCTTCATCATCTTGACTTAAGAAAAGTGAACAACACAGGATCTGTCACATGGATAAGTGTCGTGAAGGAATGAATAAGCGTCTATGTAAAGAAACCAGAAACACCAGAATAAAACCAGCACAAGTAAAGGGAAGCCAAGTACAGTAAAAAGCAGAAATTAAGAAAATAGCATTAATGATGGTAAAGGTGACACAACTACAGAAAAAATTAATAAGTGGATGYGGTTGCACATACCTGTAATCCAGCTACTTGAGGGGCTGAGGCAGGAGGATTGCAAGTTCAAGGCCACCCTCGGCAAGTTAGTGAGATCCTGTCTCAAGAAAGGGCTGAGGATGTAGGTCAGTGTTAAGAGTGCTTGCTTATCATGCACAAGGTTCAATGCCTGCACAGAAATATTCATTTCACTTTCAAAATGTGTAAAGATATAGAAGGATTACATTTTTCTCTAAGAAAGTGTTACAGTTGACTTGATACAGTAGAACCCAATAGTGTGTGTGTGTGTGTGTGTGTGTCTGAGCTCCCCATTTAATAACCAAAGAATCTGATAACTATACAGCTAAAAGCTTTAAAGAACAGATACTCTTTAACAAATTTTTAACAATTCTTACAGCTAAAATAATCCTGATAATAAAACTAGACAAAGATAGCTCCTAAAAAGCAAAATCTAGACCAGTTTTATTAAGATTATATTCTTCACAACTCTAGTATTTTAGAATTCATTACAATACCAGTCTTCATTAATATGTTAGTGAGTTTCCTTTCCCAAGCACCAGGTGTCTCCAGACCTGTGATTAATACAGTATACAGCCCAAACTCCCAATGTTCTTCACGTGTTTTATTTCAGGGAATACTAGTTCTTGATGATATTTAAAATATTTTCTTGGGAAAATATGCAAATGAGCAAGTCAAAGAAACAAAACAAAATCTACTTCGAGGGATTCCAAGTACATGTAATCAACTTTTTAAATGATGTAGAAAAGAAAATTTATTTGAGTGTATCTAAAACTTATTTCATTGGGAATTCTCACTTCCAATATCTGTTAAGACCTTTGGTATATGAACACTTTATTAGAGGCTACCCTAACCACAGGTTAGGGATTCACTTCAGACATGGGAATGATTGATTGTATTGCAGGGGGTGAGGTGGAGAACTTTTCTTTGCAGCTCTCATCATACTCTACAGAACAGAAAAGATCGCAGCCTCGCCCTGGACATGTATGTATGAAACAGACTCAACTATTGGGTTAAACTGTCATTAGGATGTAAATAATTTTTCATTGTAATAAAAATCCTATATTGAATACTATTTTGCCTAGTTTTTGATTCTCTTAGAGTCTACAGTCTCTGCAAGGTGTTATCTAGAGGTGAGGTTGATTATTATAGGCTGTAAATACTTCCAGCTTCACCACCTATTGCCATATTTTTACTCCATTGTACCAATTTTGTGCTGAGGATCAAACCTAGTGCTCACATGTGCTAAGCGAGTGCTCTACCACTGAGCCACAATATTAGCGCCACTAAATACTAGTATTCTTAAAGTGCATTTCCCTTTGTATATATGTATACAGCTTTTAAGTGGGAACCAAGATAAAATGAAGAACCAATTTACCTTTAAGCTCAAAATATAATTAAAAAATTTTTCTCTTCCCTAACACTTTTACTTTACTTCTCTATTCCAATCAAAGAATAGTATGTCCTTTAATAAATATAAAAATTATAAAGTGGGGTTGCGGCTTGGTGGTAATCATCTCACACGTGTGAGGCACTGGGTTTGATCCTTAGCGCCACATAAAATAAAAATAAAGGCATTTATTTGTTTACAACTAAATGTCTACAACTAGAAGAATATTTTTAAAAATTGTAGAGACATTAAAAAGGAGAAACCATGGGGCTGGGGATATAGCTCAGTTGGTACAGTGCTTGTCTCACTTGCACAAGGCCCTGAGTTCAAACCCCAGCACCACAAAAAGAAAAAAGAGAAACCAATCATACTGCATCTAAACTATCCTGACTCTTAGTTACTTTCTAATTTGTGGCCACATTCATAAGTATCTGGCATTAAAGATTTCACTGCAATAAAATGTTATTTTATTTTTCTTATATATGGCTATGGCAGAACAATTACCAAATGAGGACATATTTTTCTATAATTTTATACATGGAAATTTTATATTTTCAAATGTTATTACTATTTAAGAAATTTTAAAATGAGCAGCTTCAAGCAAGATGTTTTCCTGGAGGTCAAAGCAAGAAAACCTTGTCTACAAGGTTAGTTTCATTGATAGCATGCAATAGTATTACTGCTTTTGAGTGTTTTTTCCTTAAAAATGCAAAAAAATATACACCTGTTTATGATAAAAACTTTGAAGTGAAACTAAAGGGTCCAAGATGAAATGTAAAGCTCTGTGGCACTTGAAACCTTCCATAAGTCACATTCCGAAAAGCCACTGTTAAAAATTGTTTCTTAGGTTTAAGCTGGGGTTGTGGCTCAGTGGTAGAGTGCTCACCTAGCATGTGCAAGGCCCTGGGTTCAATCCTCAGCACCACATAAAAATAAATAGATAAAATACAGGTTTTGTGTCCAACTACAACTAAAAAGTAAATATTTTAAAAAAAATTTTCTTAGGTTCTCTCTATGAGAAAGTATTGGTATCTCTAACCCTGTCTGTCATTCTGTCTAAACAACATGGATGAATACACCTCATTACTGTTTTGAGGTGGGGAAATGGGGTCTCACTCAGTTGCCCCGGCTGGTCTTGAACTCGTGGATGCAAGTGACCCTCGTTCCTCAGGTGTCTGCCGGGACTACTGACTGAAGCATCTGCACCTGGCTTACTTACTTCATTTCTTTAAAAAGTGTCATGGTTTTCTGTTGCCCAAATGAATCATGTACTTAATCTTCTACTCAGAGAATTTTTGTTTATTTACTCACTTTTTAAATTTTAGACATATTTTAGAGGTAGAATTGACAATTCAAATTATATGTGCACTTTCAATACAGAGATATATGAAATAATTGAGTTTTCTAATAAGATATATGAACTACCATTAACCTTGTGTGGGAATACCAAGCACTTTTACTAACCAGGTATTAATCCTAGTTTTTAAGTCTTGTCAGATGAAAACAATTTCATTTTATTTGATTTTATTTATGAGTGAGCATGAGTTTTTATTGTGTACTTTCAGCAAAATATTTGCTTATTTAAAAAGTTAGATGATTGTTTTTTTCTGTTGATTAGAAAGGAATTTAGATTTTTTTTTCTGTATGCATTGCTGGTATTTATTTCTCACTGTGTTTTTGGTCCTTCCAACTATTGTTATCTTTAGAATTCTGGGTTCCTACCTTTTCAGTCTCAGTGTTATAACCATGCCTAATTCGTCACTGTTTTTCTTATATTGTCTTCACAGTTTTGTATACCAATGATCCACGTAAAATGCATTTGATGTTCAGGATTGAGGTTGGGATTCATGTGTGCTTTTTCCTAATACATTATCATTCTCCTAATGATTGGTGGGGGTAATAATTTATCTTTTCTTCACTCATTTGAAATATCACACTCGTTTTAATGAATTGTATTTTGATTTATGTTTGGACACTGATCCCTTTCTATGGCGTCTCAGACATATGCAGTTACTAAACTGTTTTGTGCTGTGTTTTCAGAGTAATGTTTAATATCTGTAGGATTGCCCCCATCACTATTATTTTTAAGTACATGATTCCTGGGTTGTCTCTTCTGAATTTTTTGTACTTTTTAAATTTTAAATCAGCTATCAAGTTTGAAAGCTATACAAGAAAATCCTGTTGTAAGTTAATGGATTAATTAAGAAGATTTTATCTTTTTAACATATATACACACATGTATGCATAGTAATATATATATGTAAACATACACACATACATGTATATATACATATACACATATGTATATATTTTTTTGGTTTAGCACTAGGGATTGAATCCACTAGTACTAAACAAAAAATATTTTACCACTGAGCCAAATCCCAGCCCTTTTTAAATTTTTTATTTTGAGTCAAGGTCTCACTAAGTTGTTTAGGTGGTGAAGGCATTCCTGTACCCGCTGTTTGACAGGGTCACAGCGTGCATGGGGGATGCTGCAGCATGGCCACAGCATCTGGAAACCAGAACCATGGGGAATGTTAAGTGTTTTGTTTATGATCCTCATGATACAGATAACAGGGCATATGTCAATCAATAATAAAAGTACATATTGCCTGAGATTGCAGGAAAATTCCCAGAATGAGACTAAGGGTACAATTAAGACATGCCCTGAGGTGTTTCAATATCTCTCAGGATGCAAACAATAGTGTTGTTCCTCAAGCCTAAGCTACAGGAAACGTTTATCCCATGGTTTACAATTTATACACCCCCCACCAGTTCTAAAGCCACAACCTGTGCAACAGCCTAGCTACAGAAAAACAATCGCTGCGCCAACAGTACAAGGACCACTGTATGTAGGTTACTTAATTAAAGGAAGATTATGGTGTCCCCCTCGAGGACAAGAGGCTAATAAAAATACATTTCCCATCAACAGACCCTCCTTTGCCTTATACAGGAATTTATGATGAGAATGGAAAACACACAGCTAATATTAATGGCAAATGGGTTGAGGTGCAGAGCCTGCCCTTTAGTTAAAATTACAAAGACGTAAGACTTGGTGTGCTTTGACCAAGGATCAAGGAAACTCTTTAAGAAAGCAGTTAAATAGGTTATATGAAAAAAAGGAAATTACCCTGGAAATTAAAAATAGAATAATGTAAAATTAACATAG